TGCTCGCCGCGAGCAGCAGCACCGCGATGCTGAAGGAGCTGAAGGAGCTGCTGGAGGCCGCTTTCGAGCTGCGCGAAATTTCGCCGGTGCAGAAGTATCTCGGCCTGGAGATCGTGCGCGACAGGCCGGCGCGAAAATTGTGGCTGCACCAGCAGGGCTACGCCGACAAGCTGCGCATGCGCTTCATCCACGAGGAGCAGACCGGGCGCACTCCGAAGACGCCGGTCTCCGTCGCCGCCTACGCGGAGCAGACATTCGACGACGAGGAGGCGCAGGAGCGCGAGGAGGAGGAGTACCGGCAGAAGGTCGGCTCGCTGCAGTTCGCGGCGACGACGACGAGGCCGGACATCGCATTCGCGTGCAGCAAGCTGGGGAGCGGCCTCACGGTGAGGAGCGACCAGCACTGGCGCGAAGTCGACCGCTGCCTCGCCTACCTCGCCAACACGCGAGACACCGCCCTGGAGTTCGGCGGTGGTCCGGAGTCACTGGAGTTGGTCGGTTTCGTGGACGCCGACGACGCGGGCGACAAGCAACACCAGATGAGCATGGGCGGCTACGTGTTCGTCTACGGAGGGGCCGCGGTCTCCTGGTCGAGCCAGCGCATCAAGTGCGCGACGCTCTCCTCGACCGAGTCGGAGTACGTGGCGGCCGTCGAAGCCGGCAAGGAGGGATGTCGCCTTCGCTTCCTCCTCGCGGAGTTCCAGCGGTTGGACGCCGGAAAGCCGACTGTCCTCAGGGTGGACAACAAGTCGATCATCACAGTCGGCGAGGGCATGGGGTTGACGGGCAACCTCAAGCACATGGAACGGTGACAGGCCTGGCTGCAGCACATGGTGAAGCGCGGGAAGTTTTCGCTGAAGTACATCCCGACCGCTGAGCAGCCGGCCGACTTTCTGACGAAGGCGCTGCACTACCCGGCCTTCAACCGGTGCTCCGTTGCAATCGGCCAAGTGCGCCTGGCCGATGTGGGCGACGGAGACAACGACGTGCAGCAGTAGGTGCCATGCCCTTTTGCATGGCTGGTGCGGTGACTGGCGTGCTGTGCGTTGTGTGCACGCCAACGGGCTATTCTCCGAGCAGTACTGCCGTGTGGGCCGGGGGGGGGGGGGGGGGGGGGGGGGCAAGCGTGAACGCGGCAGGGGAGTGTCAACGGGAGTTATGTTTGGCCCCGTCCTCGCTTGGGCGGAGCCGACCGTGGGAGCCGCGAAATCGCGGTGGACCGTGGGAGCCACGATTTCGCGGTGGACCGTGGGAGCCACGAAATCGCGGTGGACCGTGGGAGCCACGAAATCGCAGTGGACCGTGGGAGCCACGAAATCGCAGTGGACTGTGGGAGCCACGAAATCGTGGAGGACTGTGGAGCCACGAAACCGCGGGAGGACCGCAGTGGCCGAAAAACCGCGGGACGACCGCGAAATACCCAGTCAACCAGGATACCCGGACGACGTGCGCGAAAGTCGCCGGGGATGTTGTCTGCGAGGACGACCTCGGGGGTGGTATCCCGAGGTCGACGTGGCTGGTGGGCGCCGTCACGGGTGAAGTGTCTGCGCTGGGCGTGTGACGGGGAGTTGGGCGCCAACCAGCTGCACGCACCTGCGAAGCTGGTGCATCGTTGTCCCGCGGATGCATCGCTGTGCAGCCGACTTACTGCAGCGTTGGCACACCGCGGACGGGCAACGTTGGCAAGCCGCGACTCTGCTCTGCTGGAGCGCGGTCGACCAAGTCGTGCTGGCACGCGGTCGACCGTGCAGCCCTGGCAGTAGACCAGCAGCCTTGCTAGGTCTGATGTAGTCAGTGTTGCCAATGTTGATGAAATCATTCTGAACTTTTGTTGTGATGTTTTCCTAGTGAAACTCTTGCCGATTTTCCCCGTGAACTAGCAAGCAGTGTTAGCACTTGGAAACGACTAAGGAATGAACGCACGCTACGATCACTCTTGCCCCGTGCCTAGCCCGTAGTCTAGCTCCCGTTGCACACGTTATCTCCGCAACTTGTTCGGTATCTCGCCGCGAAGAAGGTTCCGGGATTCCCCGCGAAAGGTTACGGAACCTACTACACAACGTAAGTTACTGTCTGTTACCTTGTGCTTGTATTGTTGCACTTATATTCTTTATTTCTTAATGTCTAACATTGACTAACCTTGCGCGCAGGTACGGCTTTGGGCAACTAACACAAGCGATTGCCACGTGGTTGCACACAACTCAACTCCAGCACCTCCTTATAAGCCCTTTCATCGGCGTTACCTGTGACGAGAGCACGGACAGGTGCCGGGGAAAGCACATGATCATTTTCGCGAAGTTCATCCGTGAGAATCGCGTCGTCACTGAATACCTTGCGTTGCTGACCGTGGAGAAGTGCGACGCCGCCTCTCTCCTCGCAGTGTTTCTGTCCCACCTGCAGGCCCTCGGCATCGAGCTTGGCAAGATCGTTGGAATGAGCACCGATGGCGCGAGTGTGATGATGGGACAAAAGAATGGTCTTGTCGCTCATCTGCGCCTCCAGATACCGCATCTCGTCTCAAGCCACTGCGTTGCTCACAGGTACTTTCCGCATAAGTACCCGCGGCACCCTTATCTTTCCGAATCTCGTTCATGCTGATAGCTTACCCCGTGTGGCATGTTTGTCCTGTGTTGTGCCTGCAGGGAGGCCCTAGCGGCAAAAGATGCAGCGGAGGCAATCCCCGAGTTTGACATGGTGGACGGGCTGATCCGTCAAGTGGCCGAGTATCTCGGCCATTCCAGCCCCTGGCACCAACGATTTCTGGAGCTCCAGGAACTCTTCACTCCTACGAACCTGGAGCTTCAAGGCATCCATCAAGTCCGCTGGCTGATCAGGGGTGATGCCGTTTTGCGAACGGTGACGGTCTTCTTTGCGCTACTCGTCATGCTGTATGAGAGGGACGAAACTCTGTACGAGCTCGCCACCAGCTACAGGTTCCATTTCTTGCTGTTCTTCCTTGCAGACGTGCTCGAGCAGCTGAACATCTTGAACAAGTCCTTCCAGCAGCGTGAGGTGAGCCACAAGTCCTCTCGGCCTTTTGCAGCAGTTCTCTTGATTTCTACTTATTGTATGCGTGTGTTCCGTGTGCAATGATTGAAATATCACCCATCTGGCTGTCTTTCCTTGTGTCGCTCTGTGTAAACTGTGTCCCCCTCTCATAACTCGACATCGCAGGTGTCCATGCGCAGATCAGGAGAACCTTGTCTCACCTGGAGACCCGCTACGTCGACTGCGGTGACGATTTTGGAGGCGGGTTGAGCGCGCGCCTGTCGTCGTTCATCATGAAGTACGGGCCTGACAGTGACAAGCCCGAGGTGACGGTGCACGGTGTGGACTCTGACGGTCGCCCGACAACACACAAGTTCCAACTGCATGAGAAGCCAAGCGAGGACTACCCAACTCTTGGAACACACGACAACTGCGTCGACCTCTGCACCTCTTTTGCCGAGACGCTCGTCAGAAACCTCAGCAACAGGTTTGCAGACTTGGACTCCCTTGTGGGAGTGAGGCTCTTCATGCCAGACGAGTACAGCACGGGGGGGAGATCGGAGCGCCACAAACAGTGTCTCGAGTGGCTCATGTCACTCGAGTGACTGGTCGACTAGCTACCCCAACCTCGTGCATCTCTGGGTGGCAGTCGCAGTGCTTCCGCTGAGCACAGTGGAATGTGAGCGCGGGTTTTCCCGCCAGAATATCATCAAGTCATGGCAGCGTGGGAGCCTCAAAGACGCACGAGCCTACGATGTCGTCACGATCTCGTCACGATGTCGCTCCTCGACTACGAGCCCGGCTACAACGAACTGGTGAACATCTGGCGCAGCTACAAGAAGCGCCGGCCATTTTGAAATGTGGCAGCAGCAGCAGCAACACCTGCAGCAAGAGAGGGGGAGGGAAGTGGCAGGGGAAAGGAGGCACTTGAGGAGTGGGAAGAACCAAAGGTGCAGGGGAGTGATGATGAAGACTCTGATTCCGATGCTGAAGGACGCATGACTCCTATTACATAAGAGCAGCTACTTTGTTCTAGGTAGGAAGGAAGCTACTGTCTTCCTGTGCTTAAAACCATGACGTTTTATAGCTCAGCTTTTTTAATTTTGGAACCCTGATGGATCAGTCTCTCTTTTAGGACAACACTGTCATTTCAGGCTTTTTTTTTAGGTAACACTGTCAATCAGTGTTTACACACAAGGGGACACTGATGGGTATACGACCCTTAAAGTGAATCTGAGGGCCTGGCCACGATGACATTTCTGCAATCGCGTGCCCACCCCAAGTCCCAAGTGACACGATCTAAAAAATTATGGGGCAAAATTGCCTGATATGGACAAATTGCACAAATCAATTGCCTGACTCCGATGGGACACAATCGTTGTCACAAGCTACTATACATCTTCGAATGTTGACGAAAACAGGAAACCACCAGTTAGTGACGTCGTGAAAGTACAATACTTGCGAAACATCGACCCTGCGCAGGATCGATACTCTAAATTGTGTCGCGTCCTAATCCCACTCTACACTGCGCAATATCCATCTTCTGATGGAGCCAAGTCATCCGATCATAATTATCACCCCCGTCGTGCCTACGTCATCCACCAGAGTTCCCGGCGCCACGTATCGATTCTATGAACCGCTACCCCTAACAGTCACGTCCGTCGAGCGCGTTACGGTAAGACGATTTGGACGGCATTTCACTTGTAAACATACATCGTAACAACCCATGAATCTCACAAAGATCTCTACCTGGGTGCACTAAAAATATTTCTAAGTAGTGCACCAACCCCTGTTTTCGTGAATTTTATACTTCAACCAGGGTCTAGTATACTGGGGATTACAGTACCATACTATGCACACATTGTGCAGTGCAGTGTACTGGCACAAGCTCTTTCCGATGTCACTGGCAGCACCATAAGTCCTACTCCCATTCCTCTGCTGACGTAATTTCGTAGTACCACTGTACCACCCCACATCACGTGCTGTCTGTCACATAAATCATGTGCTGATTGTTAGATATTCCCCTGATACCGCCGCTCTGGGTGCCTCGGTGGGTGCGAGGCAAGGCCCAGAGGCCACCCAGCCACTGGGGGAACCGTCTGGGAGTCAGATGGTTCAGACGGGTCAGAGGAGTCAGAGGACTTGCAGTGTACTGGCACAAGCTCATTCCCTCTCCCATTTTCTTCCACCCCATCATTCGCCCCATAGCCATGTGTCTCCTGCTCTTCTGCAGCTGCATTCTGCCCTTCTCTTCCCCCCACAGCCTCATCAGCCCTCACCCTGCCAGCAGCTCGGTGCCATGGCTTGCCTCTACCCATCTTCTCCTCCTCATCCCCATCTGCCCTGGCGTTTCCTCTCCTGTGCCTTGCCTTCTCCCCCACCTCACTCCCTCGCACCCCTCTCCTTCCCCCCGTGATCACCGCGTTCCGACTGCTGCAGCTGCTGCTACTCTCCTCCTCATCCAGCGGCCGCCTTCTCACTCTGGCCTCTTCCGTGTCTCTTCTATCTTCTGCCGCACCACCTCCCACCGAACCACCTCCCACCGAACCACCTCCCACCGAACCACCTCCTACCAAACCACCTCCTACCGCACCAAAGCTTCCCCCACCAGCGCTCTCTGTGCTGCTTCTCTGCCCTGCCCCCTTCCCTCGCCCCTCCTTACGACACCTCTCAGTCTCGCTGCTGCTGCTTGAACCTCTGCGTTGCCTCAACCCCCTCTCCAACTCACTCCTTGCTTCTCCTTCTCCCCCTCCCCGCATCTGCACCACTGAACCCCGCCCACCAAATATCCCATCCTCATGCTGCTGCTGCTGTGGTGGTTGATGCAGCTGCTGTGGTGGTTGATGCGGCTGCTGTGGTGGTTGATGCGGCTGCTGTGGTGGTTGATGCAGCTGCTGTGGTGGTTGATGCAGCTGCTGTGGTGGTTGATGCGGCTGCTGTGGTGGTTGATGCGGCTGCTGTGGTGGTTGATGCGGCTGCTGTGGTGGTTGATGCGGCTGCTGTGGTGGTTGATGCGGCTGCTGTGGTGGTTGATGCGGCTGCTGTGGTGGTTGATGCGGCTGCTGTGGTGGTTGATGCAGCTGCTGTGGTGGTTGATGCGGCTGCTGTGGTGGTTGATGCGGCTGCTGTGGTGGTTGATGCGGCTGCTGTGGTGGTTGATGCGGCTGCTGTGGTGGTTGATGCGGCTGCTGTGGTGGTTGATGCAGCTGCTGTGGTGGTTGATGCAGCTGCTGTGGTGGTTGATGCGGCTGCTGTGGTGGTTGATGCAGCTGCTGTGGTGGTTGATGCGGCTGCTGTGGTGGTTGCATCGGTTGTGTGCTATCGGAATTAAGGGATGCGAGGGAGGGCAAGGAGGAGCGAGAGGTGGATGCACGAGAGGGAGGCGAGGAAGGGGAGGAGGAAGGATGAGAGGAGGAAATATGGGACGAGGAAGCATGCGAGGAAGAAGCGTGGGAGGAGGAGGCATGAGAGGAGGAGGCATGAGGGGAGGAAGCATGGGAGGAGGAAGCATGGGAGGAGGAAGCATGAGAGGTGGAAGCGCGAGGGGAGGAGGCATGAGAGGAGGAAGCATGAGAGGCAGAAGAGCGGGAGGACGCCGAGGAGCGAGAGGCTCGAGAAAGAGAGGGTGCGAGGCGAGGAGAGGAGAGGGTGGGATGGCAATCGGGACGGTGGGAACTTGGGGGCTGAGGAGCGGGAAGAGGAGGGAGAAGAGGCGAGGACGGGCGTGCGTGAGCAGTGGAGGAAGGAGGGAAGGAGTGCTGTTTCCGAAGGGAGGGGCGAGAGGGGGAGGTTGGGGATGAGGTAGGGGGCTGTCTTGGAGAAGCAAGACTCGAGTTGGAAGGATGCAGGGGGGAGGAGGAGGGCAGTGGCAGGGAGGGATGGCTTGGGGAGGGATGGCTTGGGGAGGGATGGCTTGGAGAGGGATGGCTTGGGGAGGACACTGAGAGCGCTCGACGCAAGTGGGAGGGAGGTGGAGGGTTGGCGGGTGGTGGGGAGTGGCATTTTGGACAAGAGGCAGGAGACAATGGGTGGGGGGAGGCGAGGGAAGAAGAGCCACTGAGCTGCTTGTGACTATGTGCGGGTGCTCTAGTATGGAGGTTAGCGAGTGAGGTGTTAGAGTGTGCCGTGATGGGGATGCTTCTTTGAGAGGCCAACAAGGGTCTGGGAGAAGATAATTCATTACAGTTCGGAGGTGAAACTGGTGCATCTAAAGATGAAACGGATGGAACAGGAGGTGAAACGAGGCTATGAGGGTATGAGAGGCATCTGGGTGGGAATGACCCCCTACCCTCGTTCAGTGCATGGGAACTGTGAGGAGATGCAACGCCACTGTGAGATGAAACGCCTCTTGGAGATGTAACGCGGTCACGGAACGATGAAACCCGCGACGAGCCTCCATTGGCCATCAACATTCCCCCGGCAAGAGCGTGAGGAGGGGAGGAGCGGTGGGAATATCCCTGAGACAGGGGCATGAGGAGCGGAATCGCAGTCACCTCCGAAGCGCCCTCTCCCTGTCTGCTAGCAGGCAGGGTAGCAGCGCCCTGCATGGCCGGCAATGCAGCATGGCTCGTAGCACCTGGTGAGGCGGGTGCAGGTGAGGTCGGTGCAGGTGAGGTGGGTGCAGGTGAGGTGGGTGCAGGTGACGTGGGTGCAGGTGAGGTGGGTGCAGGTGAGGTGGGTGCAGGTGAGGTGGGTGCAGGTGAGGTGGGTGCAGGTGAGGTGGGTGCAGGTGAGGTGGGTGCAGGTGAGGTGGGTGCAGGTGAGGTGGGTGCAGGTGAGGTGGGTGCAGGTGAGGTGGGTGCAGGTGAGGTGGGTGCAGGTGAGGCGGGTGCAGGTGAGGCGGGTGCAGGTGAGGCGGGTGCAGGTGAGGCGGGTGCAGGTGAGGTGGGTGCAGGTGAGGTGGGTGCAGGTGAGGTGGGTGCAGGTGAGGTGGGTGCAGGTGAGGTGGGTGCAGGTGAGGTGGGTGCAGGTGAGGTGGGTGCAGGTGAGGTGGGTGCAGGTGAGGTGGGTGCAGGTGAGGTGGGTGCAGGTGAGGCGGGTGCAGGTGAGGTGGGTGCAGGTGAGGCGGGTGCAGGTGAGGCGGGTGCAGGCGGCAGGGAGGTTGAGGCGGGCAGATGCAGATGCAGGTGAGCACGAGGAGGGGAGGCAGGTACGGCCGAGGGGGAGTGCGGTCTCGGGGAGTGCAGAACGGTGCGATGACAGGAGGGCGAATGAGGGGGAGCTGCAGAAGCAGGGGAGTCAAAAGCAGCTTGAGAGGAAGCTCTGTGTTGAGAGGGGCTATTTGGTGAAGGTGGCATCTGGCTGAGCCTATTGACTTGCACGGAGTGCCTGGCAGGGGAACCCGAAGGGGAGGCTCTATCTGGTGAAGGTGGCTTCTTGGCAGCAGAGGGAACTGCTGCGTGAGAGGAAGGGCAGGGGACAGGTTTTTCTTTGGTAGGCGAGGCTACTGTAGCAAGGGCAGGGCAGGGGACAGGTGTGGCGAGGGCAGCGCCAGGGACAGGTGCAACAAGGGCACTGCTGCTGGTGGCTGGGGTGTGCTGCTGCTGTTGTTGCTGACCCGCCTCACCAGCCTCCTTGGCCGGAGACGGCACTCTCACCAGCGCCCTGCTGCTGCCGCTGAGGGCGAAAGGGTGCTTGCGGGGAGGTAGAGATGGTGGGGGGACGCTTTGAGTGGGCGGGGGGTGCTGAGAGGGTGGGGGGACGAGCTGAGAGGCAGGGCAGTCTGAAGTGGTGGGCGAGTGGGGGGAGAAAACGGAGGAGGGCAGGTGGGGGGAGGAGAGGGACGAGGAGGTTGGCTGGGGGGAGGAGTGGGACGAGGAAGGGGTGAGATTGTTAAGGAGGGTGGAGGGGTGGCGGCGGGAAGGGGGAAGGATGGGGGGAGGGCGGCGCGAGGAAGGACGGGGAGGGAGGTGGGAGAGAGAGGCGTCAGCAGAGGGACTGGAGGAGGGGTGAGAGAGAGTGGAGGAGGGGAGAGGAGAGGCGAAGGATATGAGTGAGGAGGTAGAGGGAGTGTGTGAGTGAGAGGGAGTGAGGGTGTGGGATGACTGGGATGAAATGGAGGAGCCCAGAAGGGAGGAGGAATGGGAGGGGATGGAGGAACGTGGGGGCCCAGCGGCAGCGGTGGGTGGTTGAAAGGAGAGGCGGCGACGAGTGGAGTGGGAGGCGGAGGGGGAGGGGAGGGAGGGAGAGGGGAGGGAGGAGGAGGCGGGCGAGTTGTGCAGGCGAGGGGAGGAAGCAGCGGCAGCAGAGGAGTGAGGCCGGGCGGAAGGGGCGATGCAGGAGGGGCCGGGCATGAGCAGAGAGGGCTTGGGGGCGGAGGGGCGGGCGGGATGGAGAGGATTGGGTGCGGGGAGCGGGAGGAGGCGAGTGGTGGGGGCAGGGGTGCTGGCGCCGCTGCTGCTGCTGCTCCTGCTCTTGCTGCTGCGGCTACTGGCTCTGCTGGCCCCCCGTTGGCTCTGTTGGCTCTGTTGGCTCACCACCACACCACCGGCTGTACCATCTGCATTGCCCTCCCCTGACCGCCTGCCTTTGTTATTAGCCTCACCAATGCCGCCATCCCTGTCACCTACACCAACAATGCTCCTCTGCCCAACCTCCTCTGGAGCCTCGCATTGCAACTGCTCCCTCTGCTCGCTCTGCTCCCCCTCCTGCTCATCCCTCTCACTCGGTTGCCCAGCGGTTGCCTGTGGCCTCACCTCCACCTGCTCCTCTCCTGCTGCACTCCTGCCTGCCACACCCACCACCGCCGCCCCACCTGCTGCTACCTCACAACCCGCTGCTTTCTCCACGCCCTCCAAGTCTCCCTCCCCCTCTTCCTGTGGCCCCCATCCGCCCTTCCTCCTCCTCATCTCCGCCACCACTGCTGCCGCCACTGCCTTCTTTCTCCCCTTCCTCCCCTTCTCTCCCTTGCCCCCACTCCCCTCCGCTGCTCCACTCGCCTTGGCTCCACCCCCTTCCCCTTGCGTCTCAGCCAGACCTGCTTTGTCTTTGACCGTTCCCTTCGCCCCTTTCTTCCCTTTCACCTTCCCACCACCTGAAGCAGGCACACTGGGCGGCACACACTGATTCTCAGGTGAACGGCCAGGTGGATGGCCAGGTGGGGGGTGGGCAGAGAGCAAACTGTCAGGTGCTGCACCGCTGCTCTGCTCGTGGCCATGAGCCTTGGAGCCGTGCTCCCGTGCCTGCTCTGCCATCCTTGTCTCGCCTTCACCGGCCGTGCTTTCAGAGCGCCGCCGCACATCCCCACCCCTTGGTGTTTCCTCTAGCAGCTCAAAGTCAGGCGGTGCGTGTGCAAGGGAGGCACGAGCATGAGCATGGGGTGCAAAACGGGCCCCACCGGCAGCAGCAGCAGCGGCAGCACCGTGGGAGCGGTGGGCAGAGGAGAGTGGCGGCAGCACACACGCCGGCTGAAACCGGTCCGCCCCTCCCCCTCCCCCTCCCCCTCCTCCCCCCACACGCCCTGCCAGCGCCCTCCTCCACCGCCACAACTCACTGCTCTCCTCTTGCTCCCCCTGCTGGCCCCCCTTCTCACCCCCTCCCCTCTCATCCCCACCCTTCTCACCCCGTCCCCTCCCATCCCCACCCCTCTCACCCCCGCCTTTCTCCTCGCCAGCCTGCCTCAGCTGCCCCTCGTGCCGCTTCCCATGCCCACTCCCGCCCCTCCTCCCACCACTCCCCGCTTCCACCCTTCCTCCCTCCCCCCCTTCTGCTTCCCCTCCGCCTGCTGCCTCCCCCACTGCCTTCCCCTCCGCATCAACAGCAGCACGGGCAAGTGCAAGAGCCCTCTCCCACTCACTAATCCTCTCCCGCACGGCAGTCCCCTCACCAAACACATGCACGCCCTCCCTCACACCCCCCCTTCGGCTCCCCCCCTCGCTCCTACTCTCCTCGCTCTCCTGCAGCCACCGCTGCCAGCGCTCGCCCCACTCCCCCCCCTGCATCTCCCTCACTCGCTGCATCCACGCCAGCTCCCTCCCCAACGCCTCCCTCATTGCCGCCTCCCTCCCTGCTGCTCTTGCGCCCCCACCACCCCTCGCTGACCCACCACCCCTCGCTGCTCGCCCCTCCACCCCCCCACCAGACAGCCTCACGGCGCTGCCTGTGCCGCCACCACCGTTGCCACTCGCCCCCGTCTCGCCAACCCTCCCCTTCCCCTTTCCCCCCGCTGCCTCCCTGCCGCTCCTCTCAGACACGCCCTGCCCAGATGCTACCTCCCTGCGGGCAACAGTGCTGCCAGTGCCATCACCACCACCACTAACCGCTGCTGCTGCTGCCTCACGACGCTTGCGAGGCTTGGCAGCAGTGGCAGCAGCGGCAGCAGCGGAAGCAGCACCGGTGGCGGCGGTGGTGCCATGCTTGGGTTGCCCGTGTTTCTTCACCCGTCCCTCCTCCACCACCACCTCGATCTCTTCTATCTCTTCTATCTCCGCCACTGCCTTCCGTGCACTCTTCTTCACCTTCCCTCCCTTGCTCGCCCCACCACCACCAGCCACTACCCCCGTGCCCCCACCCGCTGCCGCCACTGCACTGCTGCTCTGGCCCTCGCCTGCCCTCATCCCCTCCGCGCCCCGCCTTGCCTCCGCCTCCGCTCGCGCCCTGTCAGCAACCTTAGCGGCCTTGCCCTTCCCCTTGCTCACCACCTTCTTCCCTGCCTTTCCTGCTGCCGCTGCCTTGCTTGCTGCCGCTGCCTTGCTTGCTGCCGCTGCCTTGCTTGCTGCCACTGCTTTGCCTGTTGCTGCCTTGCCAGCTGCTGTCCTCTTGCCTACTGCAGCCACTACCTTGTCTGATTCTGCTGCTGCTGATGCTCCCTCCTTAACCGTTGCCTCTTGCTCACCGTGTCTCCGCCGCCCCTCATCTGCCAGAGGTTCGACCAGGCAGGCCATACCCTCCACCTCTTGCTCCTCCACGACCCCAACATCCCCCTCCGCCCCTGGCCCCTCTGCCTTGCTAGCACTACTCGTCCTCCTCTTCGTCCCGGCACCTGCCACCCCTCCACTGCCTCTCCCTCTGCCCTTTGCCTTCGTCAATCCCTCTCCACCCACCTTCTTCCCCTCGCCCAACCCCTCTAGAGCACCCTTTGCTCCCGCCCTGCCTGCTGCTGCTGCGCCCTTCCCTCGCCCTGCACCCGTCTTCTTCAAGCCTCTCTTTCCCCGCCCACTCCCCTCCTCTTGCCCCGCACTGCCAGCAGCATCAACTGCAGTGTCAGCAGCAGCGCCAGCAGCAGCATCACCAGCAACAGCGGTGGCAGCAGCACCGGCAGCAGCAGGGGCGACAGCAGCAGCATCACCAGCAACAGCGGTGGCAGCAGCACCGGCAGCAGCAGCGGCGACAGCAGCAGTGCTCGCAGCAGCGGGTGCTCTGCTGCGCCTGGCAGGGGGCACAAGAACCTGGCCTGGCTCCAGTACAGCCGGAGGGGGAGAGGGGGCCGCGGAGGAGGGGTGGGGCAGAGCGGCCGCAAGAGGAGGGTCCGTGGGGCCTTGGGATGGCGCTGCAGGGTCTGCGGCAGCAGCAGCAGCAGAAGCGGCGGGATTGGGGACAAGAGGTGTTGAGGCTGGTGGGGCGGGGTGCAGGGGAGGGGTGGTGTGCATGGCAGCGAGCACGAGGAGCATGCTGGCAAGGAGGGGAGAAGAGGCAGCGGCACGTGCAGCAGCACTCTGCGTGGCGTCTGCAGTAGCGGGTGGAGCAGAGAGGTCCGTGGCAGGCAGGAGCGAGGCAGCCGGGGTGGCAGGTGGAAGAGTGGAGGGAGGAAATGGAAGTTGGGAAGAAGAGAGTTGGTGAGGAGCGTCCGAAGGGGAGTCGGAAACTGAAACCTGCTTTTGCATCGAAGCCTCATGAGAAGCAGTGGTGGCGGCACTGGCAGGATGAGTGCCGTGACTGTGAGCATCAATATCATGTGCGTGCTCGCAACCATCACCATCACCATCACCATCACCATCACCATCACCATCACCATCACCATCACCATCAACCTCGGCATCAAACTCTGCTTCGGAATTTAAATCGTCAACAGCAGCGGCGATGCTGTCAGTGTTGGCAGCGATGCTGTCAGTGTTGGCAGCGCCACCTGGAGGCCACGCAGAGGTGTGATGATCTCTAGCTTCTGCACCATCCACGTCATCACTGCAACCACTGCCCTCATCGCCATCCCCATCCCCATCCCCATCCCCATCCCCATCCCCATCCCCATCCCCATCCCCATCCCCATCCCCATCCCCATCCCCATCCATATTCTCATCTCCACAAGCAGTGCCATCGTCAGCATCACCACCATCACCATCATCACCACCATCACCACCATCACCATCACTACATGCATCCGCCCCCTGTGGCAGGGGCAACACAGCTTTTGTTGCAAGCGGAAAGTCACAAGCGAGTGTTGGTGACACTGCTGCTTCTGCTGCTGCCTCTGCCTCTTCCTCCTCCACACACTCACGCTCATCCATGCCTGTCCCTGCAGTTACCAAGTCCTCGTCCTCCTCCCCTGCTTCTGCTTCTTGTACTTCTACCTCAGCCGCTAGTTCCCCTTCCCCCTCCCCCTCCGCTTCGTCGTCTTCACCTTCCCCCTCTGGTTCTTCCCCTCCCCCTTCCCCCTCCCCCAATGCTTCGTCACCTTCCCCCTCCCCCACAGCCTCGTCTATATTCCTCAGCCACTCTGCCAAGCGACTGCCTGCCTCTCCTCTATGCCCATCCCCACGCCCGTCCCCCCCACGCCCCTCCCCTGCCGCCCCTGCCAGTCCCTCCACTCCCTCCACCCCTCCACCCGCTCTCCCCCCGTTCCTCCCCATCCCATCCCCACTCTTTCTCGTCCCACTCAGCCATTCTCTTCCCTCCACACCCTCACTTTCCAATCCTCCTTCCATCCGCCCACCCTCCCCATCCCTCTCCCCATCGCCCTCACCATCCTCCTCCCCATCCTCTAGGGGGCACAGCTCAGAGATTGACCCGAGCCCTTTCCCCCCATCGCTACCCACAGCCCACGACCGCCCTGCCCTCAGAGCAAACCCTCCCCTCCACGTGGCAGGGGAGGGTGACGAATACCCCGACCGCACTCCCACACTCTCACTCTCCCACTCCCCACTCTGATTCCTCATTCTCCCTCCCCCCGCACAGGCCCCCACCGCCCTCCCCCCCACGCCAAGCCCAGCCGCTGCCAGCGCTCTGAGCATCAGCGCAGTGCGCGGGCTATGGACAACCGACGCCGACCCAAACGACGCACTACCACCACCACCACCACCACCACCACCACCACCACCACCACCTGCACCGCTCCGAACCGAACCCGCCCCAAACGGCCTCTCCACTCCCGCTGCGCCTCCAAACGCCCCCAACCCCCCCACCCCTCCATGCGCCCCTGAGAGCAGCGAGAAGTTGAGCGACGAATCCAGGTCCGTGTCCTCCCAGTCCTCCGACTCATCCATAACTGACGCTGACGCTGACAGCACTGACGCGCCCCCGCGGCCGCCCCCGCCCGGCCAGTGGTGCGCAAACAGCTGGCGGTGGCGGTGCTTGCGCGCGATGAGGGCTTCTAGAAGGTCCATTAGCAGCATGGCGCGCTTGAGACTGGCCGCTGGGTCGCCCACCTGGTGGGGGAGAGGGAGGAAAGGGGGGTGGGCAGGGGTTGGGAAGGGCGGGTGGGGACGGGAAGGGGGAGGAGAGGGTGGCAAGAAGGTGTGGGCGATGAGGGCTTCCAGGAGGTCCATGCGCGGCATGGTGCGCTTCAGGCTGGCGGCGGGGTCGCCCACCTGATGAAGGAAGGGGAGGGGAGGGGCGATCATGGGGCAGGGAGGTGGGCGATGAGGGCTTCTAGGAGGAGGTCCATTAGAAGCATGGCGCGCTTGAGACTGGCGGCTGGGTCGCCCACCTGATGTGGGGGGGGAAGGGCAGGGAGAAAAACGGGGGGGCAAGGGGGAAGGAGAGGGAAGGGGAGAGGGTGGCGGTGCTTGGGGGCGATGAGCGCCTCGAGGAGGTCCATGAGGAGCATGGCGCTCTTGGGACTGGCAGAGGGGTCGCCCACCTGATGGGGGAGGTGGGGAGGGGAGGGGAAAGGGGAGGGGGTAGACAGGGTGGGGAGGGGAAACGGCAGGGAGCAGGAGACAGAGAAACAGTAAGCAAGCGGGAAAGAAACAGTAAATTCGTGAGGGAAAGAGCAAGAAGGGAGCAGCAAGCAGGGCCGGCAGAGCGGGCTCACACCCACGAGGTTCGGTGCAAACACGAGCGCGAGAGCCCTGGCGCCCATGTGGTTGCGGTGTTGGCACTCCACCACATCCACGAGCAGGTTCAGCAGGCAGCTGCAGGCGAGATGACTTTTGAGTCGACTCATAAGTCAACATGGGCCCACCTGGACGAGGTTTGGTGCGAACACGAGGGCGAGAGCCCGGGCGCCCATGTGGTTGCGGTGGTGGCACTCCACGACGTCCACGAGCAGGTTGAGCAGCCAGTCCAGCAGGCAGCTGCAGGCGGGCGGCAGCACTCCCAGCACGTCCGCCATGCCGCCCTCCTCGCTGTGCGCGTCCGCTGCGGAGGCGAGCAGCGAGAGAGGGAGCGCGTCCAAGAGACCGTCTGGGAGCTCGCGGAACCAGGCCTGGGGGGTGGAGGGCGGAGGGGGGGAGGAAAAAGACAGAGGAGGGGAGGACGGGAGGGGTAGAAGAGAGGAGATGAGGAGACGGGGAGGGGAGAGAGGGTGATGAAGTGAGCCGGCCAACACCTCGCCCTGCCAGTGCCACCCTCTCGTCACGGGCCCTCTGACCAGCTCTCTCTAATCAGCTTGTACTCTCTTCTTCCTTCACGAATCCAATCCTGTCTTTCAAAATCGTCTCACACCGAACTTGTCTTTCCTCACAGAGGCAGCAGACGGTCCTGTTTTGATGTGACCAGCGCCGGCAGGCGGGCAGACGGGCAGGCGGGCAGGCAGTGCGTGGTGGAGGTGGATGTGAATGAATGCGACAGCACAGCACCTGCCACGCCCTGACTGCTGCCCTCACTCACTGCCACAGTGCCATCTGTCACTGCACCGCACACCACGCATGCCGTGCCACCTTGATAGCACTGCAACTCACCTTGATAAGTGCTTCCCCTCACCTTGATAAGCGCTGCAAGGCAGTGCACATCAGTGGAGGGCGGGATCTGCCCCGCATTCACAGCTGCCTTGGCGGCCTCCTCCCTGCCCGCCTCCACTCCCACCCTGAATATGCCCTCCGTCTGATGGGCGCAGTAGCGGAGAGTGGGGGTGGTTAGTTAGCCAAGAGGAATAAGGAAAAGATGGAGAGACAAGGGGCGGGGAAAGAGGAGTGGGTGTGCAAAGCATCGGCCCCTTCTACTGCTGCCCTGGCTGCCTCCTCCCTGCCCTGAATATGCCCTCCACTTCCACCTCAACCCCACACCCATGAACCCCCACCTGCAGCAGCACAACCCCTCTCCACTCTCCTCTCTCTCCTCTCCCCGTGCGCACCTGCAGCCCCCCCCTGTGAATGAGCAGCGCCTGCAGCTGCAGCAGCACGTTGGGACCAAGAGCCCTAACCTCACACCCATCAACCCTCAACTGCAGCAGCCCTAACTCTCGTCTCCCCTCTCCCATCTCCCCTCTCCCAACTCTCCTCTCTCCCACCCACCTGCAGCCCGCCCTTGTGGATGAGCAGCGCCTGCAGCTGCAGCAGCACGTTGGGCACGAGGTTGCCATAGTCGTCGTACGAACACGGCAGGTCCTCCGGGGCCTCGCCGAACACGCCCACCGCTATCTTGCTGCGCGCATCAGGTGGGCGGAGGGAGAGGAGGGGGGAGGAGGGGGGGAAGGGAGAGGGGGGGAGGGAGAGGAGGGGAGGGAGAGGGGGGAGGTTGCCATAGTCGTCGTATGAACACGGCAGGTCCTCCGGGGCCTCTCCAAACACGCCCACCGCTATCTTGCTGCTCGCACAGAGAGTTGGGGGAGGGAAAGGGGGAGGGAAAGGGGGAGAGGAGAGGGGGGAGTTGGGGAGGCGTGCCACCATGGAATGTTGGAGAGATGTTGGCACAGGAGGGGCCACCCCGAACACGCCCACCGCTATCTTGCTGCCCGCACAGAGCCGGGGAGTGGAGGGGGTTGGGGGGTGTTGGTACAGTGTGGGGAAGAGAGTGAGAGATGTGAGGGAGAGCAGCAGTGGAGTGGAGTGGAGGGGAAGGGATGAAGTGGTGGGCAGGAGGAGAGCGAGAGAGAGGAGGAACCATTGTGGACTCCAGACAGGCAGGGCCACGCACCTGCTGTAGCTCACTATCGGCAGCGCCAGCGTCACCAGCTGTCCCTGCACTCCCCCCATCCCCATCCCCATCCCCATCCCCATCCCCATCCCCATGCCCATGCCCATGGCCCCCAGGCCGCCATTCAGGGGGTCCAACGTGGCAGGCTCGTGTGGATACGCCACCTGGCGCACGTCCATTGGCGGGCCAATCCGCAGGGACGGGTGGCGGGAGCTCCCTCCCGCGCCACCATGCCCCCCGGGTGCTCCGCGCCTCCCCTTCCCCTTCCCCCCCGCGCCCCCCCTCCTTCCGCGCCCCCTGGGGTGCCCAGCGTCGCCCCCCTCCCCCTCATCGTCGCTGCTGGAGGCGAATCCGCACGCCACCCGCGGAGCAATGCACTGGCGCAGACGGCCTGGTGGGGGGGAGGGGGAGCGGAAAGGGGGTGAGGAGGCGGAGTACCACCCGCGGAGCAATGCACTGGCGCAGGCGGCCTGGTGAAGGCAAAAGGGTGAACGGGGGAGGAGGGATGGAAGACTGAGAGGGGAAGGGGGCCGGGAAAGTGGAGCTAAGGCAGGCAACCTATAACGCACTGGCGCATGCTGGGGGCAGAGAGGCTCGTGGAAAGAAGGTAGTGGGGGGGGAGGAGGGGGGGAGGGGTGGTTGAGGGGGGGGCGTGGAAGGGGATGATGGCGTTTTGAGTGCCGTTGCGTGTGCTGGCGCAGGCCTGCCAGGCACCTGGGCGCAGGGGCGCATGGGCGCATGGGGAAACATGGACGTGGCGGGAGGCGCACGAGAAGGTGTGGTTGAGAGGGGGGAGAGAGGGAGAGGTGGGGGGAAGGGGGGAAAGGGGACGCGCATGAGGAACCTCGAGATGCACTGGCGCAGGCTTGCGGGGGACATGCGCGCGAGGGGAGGCCGCGGAGGGGCAGGCTTTGCCGGGAGAGAGGGCGGAAAGAGGGAGGTGCGGGAGGGCGAGGGGGGGGAGCAGGGGGGCCGTAAGCGCCGCGATTCCTGTAGAAAGAGGGGCAGACTCGAGTTGGCGCAACGCATTCCCCCCAGGCAGCACCGCCGTTGCGCACACTCCGGAGCACGCCGCGGGTGGTTTCCGCCTTCGCGGAACACCTTTCCTTCCGCGCCGCGCGACCGTGCAGCGACACAGGTCTCGACGGAGAGAGCGACGAGGGGCGCTACGACAGCGGTGAAAAGCGGTACCATGCGGTTTCACGGCTGTTGCTCTCTTCCGAAGGGCGGGCAGAGCGGTGGAGAGCGGTGGAGCGGGACTGACCTGACATGGTGCAAGCGAGTGGCGGTCGCTACTACATGTTCCCTACAAGTCTGCTACTCTCTCCGCGGCTGTGCCGCGCCGCTGCTCGCTCACCCCGGTGCTCGTCTCGTCTCTGGTGCTCTCGCCTCGGCGCGACACGAGCCTCTCTGAAGCATTTTGCGGATCACGGCCTGCGAGCTACTAGCTAAATTGCCGCGAGTGTCAGTGACACGCGTCACTCGCGAGAGGTGAAACGCGCGGGAAACGGGGAACGAGAGCGAAAGTGAGACGCATCGCCGGCCCAACATGCTAAAGCGCAGCGCGAGGACTGTGCGGTGCGTGTGGTATTTACACTAGCGAGTATACTGAGGCTGGGGCGGTTGCATCTGCACTGTACGTAGTGCGCGTTGCATGTGCAGAACAGACAAGCCGCGTAAGTGCAACGGGTAGCGTTTGTGGGGCGCGCGAGAACGTGGGGTTGCGGTGCAAGGCTGTTGGGTCCAGCTACAGTGCCGCTAAGATTGTATTCAGCGAGTAAAACGTGAATTGTAAAAATATGTGAGCTCAAATCACGAGGATTTTCTCTCTAATTTTTTCAAAGCCTTCATCTCACCCATAAAAGGTGAAGGCCTAAAAAAATACCCTAAGAAAGGAGTGGGTTAGATAAGCTGCAAGGTAAATAGTTGGAGAAATGCACTACCGTACTAGGAAACACCTACATAACTGTCAAAGTAACTATTTAGGAGGCATGAGCTTAGGAGGAAGGCTTGGAGCTAGGAGATGGCATCGAGAGGTTTTGGCAAAGAAGAGGAGTTTGATATTAGGCAAGAGTACAAGATATAGGAGAAGGAAGAGAGAAGAAGAGGGTACACCACCAGCAGTTGATGCTAATAACTAAACTAATACACTAGCAAGCTATAGGCAGGTATAAGATATGCAATATCAATTAACACACCCCCGTAACTGCCTATGGCTATAGCTAGTGGTGTCTGGCACCAGGTCGCCTGGAGAACAGTTGCTTGTAGCTGGGATATGCACAGAAACAGCGGTTGCTGACCGGCAGCACCTGTGAACGCCAGAACGGAGGAGGGCGCGGAGAGCGCGGAGGAGGGCTGGGATAGCCGGAGGGCGAAGGATGCTGGTCGCTCGCCATCTACGAGCAAACACAACTGTTGGTGAGGAGGAGGAAGCTGCTGGTGGTGCACAGGAGGAGAGCAGAGGAGAGGCGGCTGGACGAGAGGAGAGGAGGAGGAGATGCGGCTGGAGGAGAGGAGAGGAGGAGGAGATGCGGCTGGAAATGGAAAGGAGAGAGGAGAGGTGAGGAGACGGCTCACACACCCGCCACCCCCATACCCGTCACCCCCATACCCTGAGTGTGCGGTAAGCGAGCTCAGGTGTGCGCGAAGCGTGCACATGCGTGCGGGAAGCGAACTCGGGTGTGCGGAAAGCGAACTCAGGTGTGCGGGGAGGGGGGGGCCGCAGGGCGACGCGCGGGTCGACGGGGACGGGCGCACGGGTCCCCGGGGGCGGCGCGCGGGTCGACGGGGCCGCCGCGAAGGGCGACGGGGAGCCGCGCGCGGGTCGACGGGGCCGCCGCGAAGGGCGACGAGGAGCCGCGCGCGGGTCGACGGGGCCGCCGCGAAGGGCGACGGAGAGCCGCGCACGGGTCGACGGGGCCGCCGCGAAGGGCGACGGGGAGCCGCGCGACGGGTTTAGCATAGGCTATGGAAACAGCAGCAGATTTCGCGCAAGCAGCATAGTGGGCCGCCATGGCAGAAGGCGGAGTTGGTGGGCCCATTTAGAATAGGTCCTAGAAAAGACCACGCTCTGATACCATGTCAAAGTAACTATTTAGGAGGCATGAGCTTAGGAGGAAGGCTTGGAGCTAGGAGATGGCATCGAGAGGTTTTGGCAAAGAAGAGGAGTTTGATATTAGGCAAGAGTACAAGATATAGGAGAAGGAAGAGAGAAGAAGAGGGTACACCACCAGCAGTTGATGCTAATAACTAAACTAATACACTAGCAAGCTATAGGCAGGTATAAGATATGCAATATCAATTAACAATAACGTGCTACATTGCTAGTAGTAGCTTTCACAAAAAGTGGGGCGGAAATGGCAAAATGCATACATTGTTGTAGGCTGTAGTGGGGTACTCATTAGAGAGTACAACCCTTTTAGGGTTTCACCTTTTGTACTCCCCATGCCTGCTAGTGAACTCATTCCTGCCTCATCATTCTGACAGGAAATCCGGTAATAATCGTAAAAAATATATCTGTCAGAATCCCAGCCACTAACCACTGGGATAAAAGGGCTTGTTAAAGTTGCGGTCTACATACCTCAAGCGGGAGGCAAAGGTTTATCACTTGAGAACAGGGTAACACTGTCCCCAAAAGTACCCCTTTGCGGAGAAACGAAAGTCGAGGCGGAAGGAGGGAGGGGGGTGGCGGGTGAGCCGAAACAAGTTCGCCAGATTAGAACTTGATCCGCATGATGGTTTGTAGACCAAAACTGGTCCGACGATGGTTTTGCCATAGATCACTCCATAGACCCCTAGTGATTCCAGAGATTATAGTCGCCACAAAATGAAACCTCCTTCTGGTACCTACACCTCGATCGCAATAGCGATTTAGGCCGCATCGGCCGCGGATTACCAGCGTAGTCGAACACACCGTCGCGTTCTGCCCTTACTCGTTGCCAAATAGCTGAGCGCCGCCTCGCCTAACAGTCACTGTTAGGAAAACATGTCGCCCAGTCACGGTGGTTCACCTCCTCGCCTCATATATTTTCGCCTCATCGCCTTCGATTAGCTGGTCTCGTCGCCGGATATCTGCTCGCCATATCGCCTCGTTCTCCTCTCCACTGAGCCGCAAGCTTTACCGTCGTCCTCTCTCTTTCCAAGTAGCGCTCCCACCAAGCTCATGTTCCTGCATTTCACTGTTACGGTCCACTCCTCATATCGCTTTCTACCACTGTGGTACTAAAAGGTGACAAACGAAATTGTATTCACCGGGCGCGAGACGCGATTCAGTATAAGAGAATACGTAACATAAACTGAAGTCTGCAGCGAGGAGGTGTGAGCCGCGGACGGGAATGGGTTGCGATATCGCGCGAGTGACGGTGGGGTGTGTGCCGCGTTTACGTGCGGGGCACGCGCTCGGAGCTGCCGCGATCACGTGAGGCGAGCGGCATGGTGTGAGCAGCGACACGGTTTGGCGATGCGGACGGGAATGAGCACCGACGACGCGGAGGGAAGAGGGGGATGGGAGCGAGAATTTGCGTCGGGATAAGCCTCGACATGCGAGGGTTGTCAGATGCGAGCAGGTGCGGGGGGACAGCAAGCGCGCAAAGGCGGGGGGTTAGCATGCGAGCATGCGCGGAAGAATGGCAAGCGAGCAGAGGCGGGAGAAAGGCATGCGAGCAGGCGTGGGGGGTTATCATGCGAGCAGGCGCGGGGGGGGGGGGGGCACGTGAGCAGGCGCGGGGGGTTAGCATGCGAGAAGAGGCGGGAGAAAGGCATGCGAGCAGGCGCGGTGAGTTAGCATGCGAGCAGGCGCGGGGGGTTAGCATGCGAGCAGGCGCGGGGGGTTAGCATGCGAGCAGGCGCGGGGGGTTAGCATGCGAGCAGGCGCGGGGGGTTAGCATGCGAGCAGGCACGGGGGGTTAGCACGGGAGCAGGCGCGGGGGGTTAGCATGCGAGCAGGCGCGGGGGGTTAGCATGCGAGCAGGCGCGGGGGGTTAGCATACGAGCAGGCGCGGGGGGTTAGCATGAGAGCAGGCGCGGGGGGTTAGCATACGAGCAGGCGCGGGGGGTTAGCATGCGAGCAGGCGCGGTGAGTTAGCACGTGACCAGGCGCGGGGGGTTAGCATGCGAGCAGGCGCGGGGGGTTAGCATGCGAGCAGGCGCAGGGGGTTAGCATGCGAGCAGGCGCGGGGGGTTAGCACGTGAGCAGGCGCGGGGGGTTAGCATGCGAGCAGGCGCGGGGGTTAGCATGCGAGCAGGCGCGGGGTGTTAGCATGCGAGCAGGCGCGGAGGGTTAGCACGTGAGCAGGCGCGGGGGGGTAGCATGCGAGCAGGCGGGGGGGGTTAGCATGCGAGCAGGCGCGGGGGGTTAGCATGCGAGCAGCATCCCCACGCGCGCCCTCATGCTGTCAGCCTATGTGAAGCTGGCAGTGCGCTCGCCCCCCGACGATGTGCTGCACGGCAAGCTCATGGCCATCTTCACTCGGTCCGTGGCTCCGTTGGCTTGACCGGGAGGGTGGGTGGGGGAGTGGGTGGGTGGGTGGGTGGGGGGGGGGGGTGACTTTTGAGGCGCCTCAAAAGAAGCTCATGGCTATCTTCATTGGGAACATGGCTGGCTTGGACCGGGGGGGGGGGAAGGGGGGGGCAGGGGGTGGGTGGGTGGTGGGTGGGTGGTGTTGCGATGCCACTTGAATTAAGTCAGGCCCGGCTGCACTGCAAGTGCATGGCCGTTTTCACTCCATGGGTTGTCAGGGTGCGGGATTGGGTGGGTGAGGGAATGGGGAAGTGCGAGTGAGCAGCACGTAGGTGCCCACCTTTTTATTCCCTCCTTCTCTCTGCAGCTTCGAAGGCAGTGTGGATGCAGAAGTGCAGTGTGACTGCAGAGGTGCGGTGTGACTGCAGAGGTGTGGTGTGACTGCAGAGGTGCGGTGTGACTGCAGAGGTGCAGTGCGGTGCAGAGGTGCAGTGTGACTGCAGAGGTGCGGTGTGACTGTAGAGGTGCAGTGTGACTGCAGAGGTGCGGTGTGACTGCAGAGGTGCGGTGTGACTGCAGAGGTGCCGTGTGACTGCAGAGGTGCAGTGTAACTGCAGAGGTGCAGTGTGGTGCAAGGGCGGCCCTGCCATGGCCGACATCGTTGCTCACATGACCAAGTTCCCCCAACGCATGGTGGGGGAAGGTGGGGGGAGGTGGGGGAGGTGAAGAGTGTTGTGAGGAGAAGGGAGGGCTGTGGGAGTGTGCATGAATGGGATGCAGGGGCGGCCCTGCCATGGCTCACATGCCCTGCCATGGCTCACATGCCCTGCCATGGCTCACATGCCCTGCCATGGCTCACATGCCCTGCCATGGCTCACATGCCCTGCCATGGCTCTCTCTTCCCTCCCTGCTCTCTCTTCCCTCCCTGCTCTCTCTTCCCTCCCTGCTCTCTCTTCCCTCCCTGCTCTCTCTTCCCTCCCTGTTCTCTTCCGTGGTGCAGCTCATGAGGCATGAAGCAACCAAGCAGACAAGTTAGTGCGATTTAGGCTAGTGTGATGTGGGCCCTTGCCGTACCATAACATCGCATATACCAATTACCCTAATCAGTTTGAGGTTCTATATATTCAATAATGATAGCATTTGTCATGTGTTGGGTAACTGTATGGTTCATCATTTGCAACACTGGTGGTGGGTGTGGAGAAGATTTATGTATTATATGGTAAATAACCTGAGTTACAAGACGGCCTTTGTCCACTCGTATTGTCGCCTCCGCACACGTCGGCTGATTAGCTCCTGCTGAGTGGTGAGAGCCCATGTGGAGCTCATGTTGCTGCAGTCACCCCAGCTGCATCAGCAAGTCGGAGGCCCATGCAGGAGGGAAGGAGGGGTGGATGAGTGGCGTGTGTGGTGGCAGGGCGAATAGAGAGTGCCATGTCGCGTGTGGTGCCATGTCGCCCTATGGCGCGTGTGGTTGCAGGGCGCTCCTCTACATGGCGCCCCGCTGCCCTGCTGCAGCCTGCACAGCACACTTAGCCGAGGACGCGGGGAAAAGAGGAGAGTGGCAGAGCAATAGCCTGGGCATAAGGAAAGCAAAGGGAAAGGAAGGGGAAAAGAAGGGGAAAAAGAAGAGGAACAGGTTGCAAGGGCCAATATTCGCCAGGTGTAGGAAATGGGGCGAAGGGAAACAGGAGGAAGAAAAACGGAGATAAGGGAAGCAGGGGAAGGGAAATGGGGGAAGGGTAATGAGGGGAAGGGAAATGGGGGAGAGGGAAATGGGGGTAAGGGAAACGGGGGGAAGGGAAATGGGGGGACGGGAAAAAGGGGGGATGGGAAGTGGGGGGAAGGGAAGCTGGGGGAAGGGAAACGGGGGGATGGAGGGAGAGAGGAGGACAGGGGGGAGAGAGGAGGACAGGGGGGAGAGAGGAGGACAGGGGGGAGAGAGGAGGACAGGGGGGAGAGAGGAGGACAGGGGGGAGAGAGGAGGACAGGGGGGAGAGAGGAGGACAGGGGGGAGAGAGGAGGACAGGGGGGAGAGAGGAGGACAGGGGGGAGAGAGTCTGCGTCTCGCACCCACGCTGCTGCCACGGGAGTAATGCAGACTCAATCACAACGCCCGCACTCACCACTACCGGAGGGCAGCGAGGCAGGGCTCGGAGGGATGGCGCATGAATGGGCGCATCTCGCGCACCTCGTCAAACGTGCAGATGGCGGTTCCGTGGCGGTGACCACGCTGCAGAAGCAGGTGGCGGAAGGGGGGAGCGGGGAAATCAAAGGGAAGAAGTGGGGAAATGAGGAAGAAAAGGGTGAAATGAGGGGAAGGAGGAATGGGAATGAGGGCATGGAGGGGGAAAAAGGGGGGAAGGAGCGGGGGACATGAGGGGAAGAAGGGGGACAGGGACGGGAGGAGCTGGAATGAGCTGAGGGAGGGCTTAGGGTGAGAGCGCTATGGTGAAGGATGAGAGGGGAGAGGAAAGGACGAGAGCGGGGAGGAAAGGACGAGAGCGGGGAGGAAAGGACGAGAGCGGGGAGGAAAGGATGAGAGGGGAGAGGAAAGGACGAGAGCGGGGAGGAAAGGACGAGAGCGGGGAGGAAAGGATGGGAGCGGGGAGGAAAGGATGGGAGCGGGGATGAAAGGATGGGAGCGGGGAGGAAAGGATGGGAGCGGGGATGAAAGGATGGGAGCGGGGATGAAAGCGGGGAGGAAAGGATGGGTGCGGGGAGGAGAGGCAGTGAGAGGAGAGGCAGTGAGAGGAGAGGAGAGGAGAGGAGAGGAGAGGAGAGGAGAGGAGAGGAGAGGAGAGGAGAGGAGATGCTTGAGATGTCTCAAAACCCGCGCAGCCAGAGGGGACGCCAAGGGAAGGGACTTGAATGAAGCGAGGGGGGGGATGGGGAAAGGTATGCATGTGAATGAGTACAACCGTCTACCGCACGCGGCATTCCCCCGCGCGGCGCAGCATTCCCCCGCACGGCGCAGCATTCCCCCGCACGGCGCAGCATTCCCCCGCGCGGCGCAGCATTCCCCTGCGCGGCGCAGCATTCCCCCGCGCGGCGCTGCCCCGCGTGGTCCTCCTAGGCGCGCAGAGTTCACCCCCCTCTGCCCTCACCCCCCACGCGCTCCTCGTCACTCTCGCCCCTCACCTGATCGAGAAATCCGTCAGTCTTCGGCGCGCCGCCCGACGAGCTGCTGCTCGTCAATCGACGCTGCCCGTCAATTGGCGCGCAGCATTCACTCCGCCCCCCCTCTCCGCCGTTCGTCATTCTGACCGAGCGTCATTCTCTCTTATCAAGAATGGCGTCGCCGTCCTCGGCGCGCAGCGGGGTAACCAGCAGGCTGGCGACGAGCAGCAGCCGCAGCAGCGGGAGCGCGAGCGCGAGGAGCGCGGGAAGGCGAGCGGCACTCATTTCGTCGCCTGGACGAGTCGACGCTCGCACGTCGCGGAAAGCTGCGGAGAGCGTAAACGGACAGACGGTTTGGTATGGAGGGAGGAGCAGAGGCGGAAGTGAGCGGAAACGATTCGTAACGATATATACTGAACGAGAAGCAGCTATATATCAGTATGGCGCTCCTTCTGCTACCGTCGTTGGAAGTAGGGAGCTCACGCTGGAGACACTTCCCCTGTAACAGATCAGCCTGCGCGCCTTGTCGACACTGCACCTTCGAAACCTGCTGTGCTCTGTGCGCCACAGTCGCCTAGTTTATTTAGCGCGGATCATGCTGGTTTAGGCTTGCATGTGTGTGATGATAGGTTAGTAAGTAGGTCCTAGTCGAGGGGGTCGATGTGAAAATACAGACGTTTAGAACTTGGTGTGTCTGGTTACGCGCTGCTGTTCCTTCCCCTCCGCCCTTTCTTCCCCCTCTTCCAACCTTCTCCGCCATTCCTTCCCCCAACCCAACCCTCTCACGAAATGTGGTTGGGCTCGCCACCCTTGTTCTGGTTCATCGCACTGGTGATTGAGAAAAGCATTCACTTCGCAATCCAATGAACACACGCCAAAGGGTTAGCACTCAAAATACCCCCCAAAACCCCTCGAAGTATGTAGACTACAGCTTTAAGTAGGGGGTCAGTGCGCCCATAACCCCCCAGGCCAACATGCCTGTAACCCTTCCCTATGATCAAGCGGGGATCACCAGTGGACCCCTGACAATATCTTCATATAATTGCATGCTAGGTAGTTAATGTTGTATCATTTAGTTGTTCTGTCTATTGGTGGTGTACCCCCCTATGCCACCTTTCCCTTGCTCTATATCTTGTAACTTTCTCAATGTTAAAGCCCTCTTTCCCAACTTTGGATATCTCTCACGCTTCTCTTCCTAACATAACATACTCTAGTTCTTTTGACACGGTTTCCGAGCAGTTAAGCTCTTAGGACCTAATGGGCCTACCGACTACTAGTATTTTTTCACTCATGGCGGTCATCATTGTCAAATTATATGTTTCTTAGTTGATCATGCTAGGTTATAATTATTAGAACCAAAGCCTAGGAATCTTAGGAGCCCACTTGGGCATGAACCATGCTAGAACCAAAGTGGTTTCCAAGAAGTGAAGTTCCAACAAGAGAGAACCCTAACCTATAGGGTTTGGGAGGTGGTCCACTCTATAGAGTGTACACCACAAGTTCTCCCAACCCAACCAATGTATTCTACACTATTATAGTGTAGATGTATCCTACATATGTTTATTGGAGCAACCCGAATTAACCTTAATTCCAACACCCCCCCTTGCTCCAATAAGCATTAAAGTTCACCCATAAATCAAAACACAACCCCTCCAGCGAATGAAGCCTTGGCCTTCGCAGCCATCACTCGCATGCCGATGCGCTCCAAGTTCTCATGCAGCTGCAAGCTTGGAAGAGCTTTGGTGAGCATGTCGGCATCCTGGAGGTGGGAGCGTACTGAGTGCACCTCGACCTCCTGCTGGCGCACCGCATCCCGTACAAAGTGCCATGCCACCTTAATGTGCTTGGTGCGCTGGTGGAGAACGGGATTGTGGGCAAGGGAGACAGCACCCTCATTATCACAGAGCAATGGAATAGCCCCCCCATCCCCCACATGCATCTCTGCCAACAAACTCCTCAACCAAATGGCCTCCTTGGCCCCCTCCGATAGAGCTTTGTACTCAGCTTCAGAAACGCTTGCTGCAACACTGTCTTGCTTTTTGCTATACCAGCTGATTGCTCCTCCTCCCAGCTTAAAGATGTAGGCAGAGCGACTCTTGCCATCAGTCTCACCACCCCAATCCGAGTCTGTGTACCCAACAACCTGCTCACCACCTTGGCGCTCATACCTGATGACACGATCAGCTGTGTCGACCAAGTACCTGAGTGCTCTCAGTGCAGCGCGCATGTGAATGCGTCTTGGTGCCACGCAGGATTGTGCAAGGGTGTTGACAGTGAAAGACATGCATCATGCAACACCTTCCTCAGTCGACCAAGTACCATTCCTGATCTTAGAGAGATCATTGGTCACAGCAGCATACATCAAGCTGCCAATGAGACTCTGGTACACCTTGACATCAGCTGCAACACCTTCCTCAGTCGACCAAGTACCATTCCTGATCTTAGAGAGATCATTGGGTGACATTGGAGTATGCACCCTATGGGTCTCCTTCAGCAGATCACCAAACCTTCCCTGGAGACCACGGACATACTTCTCCTGACCAATCTCCAACCACCCATCCTTGACCGACCTGCGAACCTCCACACCAAGGTACGTGGATACCTCACCTAGATCCTTCATCTGGTACCTCTGAGCAAGCACCTCCTTGACCTGACCGATCAGCTCCAAGCGTGGAGACACAAGCAAGAGGTCATCCACATACACCAATACATACACTGGCTCTTCATCCACAAACTTGATGTACAGAGCCTCATCACATGCACTGCGGTCAAACCCTGCTGCAATCAGGGTGGCACCAATCTCCTCATTCCAAGCACGAGGCGCTTGCTTGAGCCCATAGAGAGCTTTGCGCAAGCGATACACCCTACCTGTACCATCATCAAATCCCTCAGGTTGCCTCACATACACCTCCTCTTGAAGGACTGCATTGAGATAAGCATGATCAACATCCTCCTGTTGTACATGCCACCCTTTTACCGCGGCTTCTGCAAGAAGCACCCGACCTGAGGTGAGCTTGCCCACAGGGGCAAATACCTGATCATAGTCCTTCTCGGGCTCCTGAGTGTACCCCTTAGCAACAAGGCGAACCTTGTGCTGTACCACCTTATCCTCCTTGTCAGTTTTCCTGCGGAAAACGTACCTGACCCCAATGGCCTTCTTACCTGGAGGTAAGTCGACCGGCTCTGGATCCCATACACCCATAGTGCGCATTGCATTTACCTCCTTCTCAGCGCCTGCCTTCCACGCAGGGCCCTCAGGGCCACGCAGGGCCTCAGCGAGTGTGCGTGGGACATCACCGGTGCTCACACCTGCCAGTGCAACACCTTCCACCTCCCTGGCCAAACACAGCATGCCCTCAACCACACCAGCATCCCCCCCTACCTCCTCACCACCTGTACCAGACTGGATACCAAGCACCTGCAAACCCGTAACCGGTGGTGGGGAGGTAGTCGCTGGTGACGGAGGGGCACCCGTTGAGAGAGGGACAGAGCGCTGACCAGAGGAGGAGGAAGAGGAAGTAGCATGTGCAGCGGATCTCCGCTGAATGACCGAGGGGCCACTGAGCTGCTGCAGAGGGGTGGGCTGCTGCTGCACCGACACACTCAGCGGTGCCGGTGGCAGTGATGAAGGTGGCATCTCAACGTCATCAGCCGTTGCTGAGGGTGGAGAGAGTGGAAGAGGGAGGAGTTGGGAAATCGCAGCTGCATCCTGCAGAAGCTCCCCAAATCCCTTTGCCTTGTCCCAATCCTTCCACATCACATTCTCAAGAAAGTCAACATCCCGAGCAATGCGAATGCGCATGAGAGAAGGGTCCAGCATGCGCCAACCCTTGCTCTCCATGTCCACCCCAACACAGACACACATGACAGCCCGTGCATCAAGCTTGCCACCCTTCTCATGCCCATGCAGCATGACACTCCCCATGCAACCCCAAATCCGAGCCATGCCCACATGCGGCTTCTGGCCGGACCACGCCTCCATTGGTGTGATGGAGGCAGGCAAAGCACTGTGGATGACCCTGTTCTTAACCCACACGACCCACATCAATGCTTCACCCCACAAGCGAGCAGGGAGACCACTGTCGACCAACAATGTGCAAATCCCCTCTGCCATCGTCCTGTGCCACCTCTCCACGACCCCATTCTGCTGCGGTGTTTTTGCGACACTCAATTGGGTTTTGATGCCAAACTCCGCTTTCCATGCTTTCACAGCGTCCCCCAAGAACTCGCCACCCCTGTCGGAGCGAACAGCCTTCAGCTTCCGCCCATACTCCAACTCCACGTCCTTATGCCACTGGCGAAGGACTTTTGCGACTGTGGCCGATTCTTTGTTGGGGAGCGGGAACGACCAAACTCGTCTGGTGAAGTCGTCAATGAGACTGAGGACATACACCGCTCCTCCCAGTGACGGTGTGCGCACTGGCCCCCACAAATCCATGTGGACCTCATCCAAAGGCCCAAGTGCCCGAGACGCCTCGTGGGGAAACGGCTTCCGAGCCGACTTTCCCAATAAGCAAGGCTCACATGGGGAGCAATCAGTGCTCCCCCCACCGATCTCCAAGCCCAGTACACTGTTCCCCCGAGCCATCTGTTGCAATGTTGTGGGGGCGGTGTGACCAAGGCGGCGATGAGCAAGGGTCAATGGGGAAAATGAGGAGGAGGACCCAGCTGCAAGAGCACTATCTTGTGTGCCCCGAACAAGAGGAAGAGACATCCGCACCAATCCATGGTCCCTGCCCCTCTCCTTTTCTCCAATCGCCAACACCCTCTCTCCCCGCTTGATAACACATCTCTTGCCCTGGAATGTGACGATGACATCCCGAGAGGTGAGGTGTGGGACTGACAGCAGACGTGTGTGCATCTCAGGCACAAGGTGGACCTTTTGAATCCTCAGCAGCTGGCCTCCAGCACCAACCACTGGCACCTCACCCATGCCAACAGCTTTCACCACCCGTCCATCTCCCAATCTAACTCCCCGAACCTCTGGTGGCTGAAGCTTACTTTGGAAGTCCGATGCATAAGGAGTAAAGTTGTGGCTGGCCCCACTGTCAATCCACCACCCCTCTCGCGGCTGCTCCTCTCCCACTGCTGCAACTGCCTCTCCAACCACTGCCTCTGCCTTGTCATCCTGCTCCTCCTCATCCGCCACCTTTGCCTTGCCGTTGGACCCACGACCCCCCCTCTGTAAGAATGCCGGAATGCCTCCTTTAGGTCGGTGAGGACATCGCTGCCATGCATCTCCCTCATCCCAACAGCCATGACACAACCCCCTAGGAGCCATGCCCTTGGACCCCCAAGGGAAATCAAGCACTCCTACTTTGCCTTTCCCCTGACCCCATCTGCCCGAGGTGGTGCCGCTGCTGCTACCGCTGCCTCCTTGCTTTCCTCCCTTGTCCCAGTTTCCCCTGCCGCTGCTGCCCACTTTCGTACCCGCTCCAAAAGTGGCTACACCATCCGATCTTGGCGCGACACCAATCCGCATCTCCTCGCTCCTCAAAGAGGTAAGCAGCTGATCCTTAGTGAGCGATGATGATTGGTTGTTCAGTACCACCTTCAGCATCTCAAAATGAGGAGGTAGTCCTTTGAGTACCCTCATCATCCACTCCTCAACCTCCTCCTTTCCTCCTGCAGCCAAGTACTTGGACCTCAAGTCCTCGGCACGCGCCCAGTATGCAGCCACTCCCTCCCCCTCTTTCATCTTCAAGGAAGAGAGCTCCTCAGAGAGTGCCATCCGGTTACACAATCCACGCTGAAGGTAGAACTCCTTCACTCGTATGTATGCCGCTGCTGTGCCTGCAGGAACTCGTGTGATCGCTCTTGCTCCGCCATCAACAGGTGCGCTGCCCAACTCGGTCTTGCCGCCGAACTCCCGTACCAAGCGAATTAGCTCATCTGGCACCAAGGCATTGCAGAATTGAGCGAATGCCTTCTGATTTTTCCTCTCCCACTTCAGCCGTGCGTCACCCGATGCAGGCCGCTCCTCCGAACCATCAAAGTACCCCCATAGATCGTGCGCCTCTGCCCATTGTTCGAATCGGAAGCTCCAAGTCCAATAGTCGCTCCCGTCGAACTTTGGCGCACTCTCCAGCTTCCCTTCGCCTGAGTCATGATCCATTTGCGGCAGACGCACTGGAGATTGACGTTGAGGTGGTGGTGGAGGCAACGGCGGCGGCGGTGAAGACGATGTGGACAGATTTGCCCCCTCTTGGTTTTTGGAGCGTAACTCCGCGCTCGAACCTCCGAATGATGAGCCATTTGACTCAGACGAATCCTCGCTCCGAGACCGTTCCAATGGTGTATCACGCTCCTGGATCCCGCGTCCGAGCTGTCCGCTTAAACTCGTCGAAGTTGGCCGATTTTCTGTCGACGAAGACTCGACCGTTTCTCCCGATTTTCGGCTTGCTGGATGCGCCCTGGCCTCCTCTCTTGGCGTCCGCCCTCCAATCCCTTTTCCGCGCTTTAAATCGTCCCCGATTCGCGATTTTCCAATTCGTCCGTCGACTGTATTTCGCGAATTGCGTCCGATCCGCTTGTCGATTTGCGACGACTCCGGGGCAACACTTGTAGATCGTGTCCAGGCCTTTCCAACGATATGCTGCACGCCTTGATCGGCCAACGTTGACTGAGCTTGTCCGTGAATGGATGTCGCTCCTCTCGTCCTCCCAAACGGATCCACACGATTTCCAGCGGGTTTCTTCTCTCCTCCTCCCCTCCCACGTCCAGAGTCCGCCACGGTGCAATTTCGGCAGCCCCCCGGGAGGGATGGAAGCAATTTTGCTTCCACCAATGTATTATGGTCCAATTCCTTGAATAGCTCCTATTCCAACAGATTGCTAGGCCTTCCTAGCTCTGATGCCATATTAGAATGGACTAAGCTACTAGCGGAAGCTTTAGTAGTCTTAGAACCTCCTCCTAAAGCCTAGGAATCTTAGGAGCCCACTTGGGCATGAACCATGCTAGAACCAAAGTGGTTTCCAAGAAGTGAAGTTCCAACAAGAGAGAACCCTAACCTATAGGGTTTGGGAGGTGGTCCACTCTATAGAGTGTACACCACAAGTTCTCCCAACCCAACCAATGTATTCTACACTACTATAGTGTAGATGTATCCTACATATGTTTATTGGAGCAACCCGACTTAACCTTAATTCCAACAATAATGGGGTTCTCTGCACAAGGTACAGCACATTGCTCGACACTCCTATTTGTACCCCTAACCCTTAGTAAACTCCTCATTTCGCTACGTATCTCTTAAGACGGTATCATGAGTAGGTTCTACCTAGGTCGTAGCCCACCGTTACCTCCTTAGACGACCCACATACTAGGGTTCCTGCCAGCGAGCCTGCTCCAAGCGCCCACGTTGCCAGCATATAGCACGCATAGCAGCGAGCAGCATGCGCAGCAAGCAGCACGCATCACACCAGTGCAAGGCATAAGTAGCGCACGCCGCCCGCACACGCACGCACCTGCGCACAGCCGCCCACGCAAGTCCATCCGCAGCAGCCACGCAAGTCCATCCGCAGTAGCGCCCGCCCAGCAGCCTCAGCCGCGCAAACATGAATGCAGCTGCGCGTGCTCACTTAGCACGCCTGTAGCAGCTGCGCGCGAGCAGCAGTAGCGCGTATGCATCAGTTGCACGCACGCAGAAGCCACAAAAGAGCAGCGCTGCGCACGCCACGCTCTGGATGTTGCCTGCACACATCAGCGCACAGGCTGCATTACACGCAGCCAGCAGAAACTAGCCACCAGCAGCAGAAACTAGCTGCCAGCAGCAAAAACTAGCCGCCATTTGCAGGACCTAGCCGCTAGCAGCAGAAACTAGCCACCCGCAATAGAAACTAGCTGCCAGCAACAAAAAAAAGCCGCCAGCAGCAGAAACTAGCCACCAGCAGCAGACACCAGCCGCCCACAACTCTTCCTAGCCGCCTACAGCCGCCACAACATGCACTGTCATGCACGGTTTCGCCCAGCACACTACAACCGCCCTCTTGTAGCCGCCAACAGCCCCTCACCCAGTCTTGGACGCTTCAGGAGTCCCCACAGCAGAATGGGGTTACTGAGCGCCGCATAGGCTTGGTCATGGAGATTTCCTGCACCTCCATGGTCCATGCCCGTGCGCCCCATTTTCTGTGGGCCTACGCGTTTCGCTACGCCGCCCATCAGCTGAACCTCTGACCTCGTGTATCACGGCCAGAGGCTTCACCGACCAGTCTTTGGGCCGGGTCTCTTTGTGTTGCGTCGGAGTTTCATGTCTGGTGTTCCCTTGCGCATGTCCGCGATACCACTACGGATAAGCTCTCGGCTTGCACCCTTCCCTGTGTCTTCCTTGGTTTTCCAGTTGACACCCCTGACTTTACCCTTGACCACCCGCCCCTCCACCGGTTCCTCGATTTCCATGGCGTCCGCTTTGACGAATCAGTGTCCTACTACGCCAGCTATCCCCACCAAGGTCTCCCGGTCCCCCCCCCCCTCCCCTCTTTATAGCTCCCACTCTTCCTGCTCCTGCTCCTTCGATACACCCTCCCTACTTAGGTCCTGCCCCGTCCGTTGTGTCTCACGTTACTCCTCTCCCCTCGGTAGCGCGTCAGGTATTGTCTCCTTCCCCAAAGTCGTCCTCACAGTCACTGCAGGAGCCTTCGGCACTACCACGTCAGGTTGCAGTGGACTCTGGGGGTGTTGGAGCTGGAGGCACAGGTGCTGGAGGTGCTGGTTCTGAGGGTGCTGGAGCTGGGGGTACTGGCACTGGAGGTGCTAGTTCTACGGGTGCTTGAGTTGATGGTACCGGCACTAGAGGTGCTAGTTCTAAGGAGATTGGAGCTGGAGGCACTACTACTCCGCCTCCCCAACGCTACCCGACGCGTCACCAGGCTTTTTGTCGGCTGGAGCGTGAGGAGCAGGATAGGTTGGAGCGCGAGAGGCTGGAGCTAGAGCAGCAGCAGCGAGAGATGTAGCACCAGGAGTGTTGACAGGAAATGGTTGTTGGCCCCGCCCTCGCTTGGGCGACGCTGACTTCCTGGTCGGATGCGCGGATGGTGCAGCCGACCGTTCTGCAGGGCTCGACGTGTGCTGGTCGACGGGGCTGTCGACCTGCAGGCAACCGCTGCAATGCCGCCGTCGATGAGTGACGGCGGCCTAGCTCGACAGGGGAGGTCGACGGAGCAGTCTGTCGACCTGCGTGAGACTTGCGGGCAGATGTCAGGGACCGGAGCTCAACGACTGCAGCTGACCGTGCTGGTCGACGGACGGGCTGTCGACCAGGGTAGTTCGACGGGCGCGGTGGTCAACGAGGTGTTAGTCGACCAGGGCGCGCACTGGGTCGATCAGGTAACCTGCTTGGCGAGTTCTGCGGAGGCACGCGAACGTCGTCGAGGTCGCGATGGCGAAGGGGACTTCGGACTGGTATCCCAAAGTCGATGTGGCTCGTCAGGCGCAGTCCACAGCCGACGGGTGCACAACTGTGCAAGTCGGGCCAATCGTCTGCGCGCACCTTCGGGCGTGCGCAGTGCTGTCTTCTACGGGTGCAACGCTGGACAGCCGCTTTGCTGCAGCGTTGGCACGCCGTCGACCTGCTGTATTGGCAGTCCGCGTTTCTGCAGTGCTGGCGCGGCTCCTCTACGCAACGCTGACAGGCGGTCGACCATGCTGTGCTGGCGGTCGACCAGCCTGGCTGTTGGGTTGCTAGGTGCTTGATGTAGTTGTTCTTGCCATTCTGATTGCTATCGTTCTGTATCATCAACTTTGCTAGTGAAACTCTTGCAGTTTTGCCCTGTGAATGCACAAGTGCTAGAGAACCCTGAGAAGCTACGATCACACCCACACAACTCGTGCCTATCCCTTAGTCTAGCTCCCGACCGTTGTAGAGTTTATCTCCGCATGGTGCAGTGAGCGTGGAACGAACACGCGACCTTCAGATAGGAGCCGACTTTTGCACCTACTAAGTCGTTCGTAGGCCGGCAGGCGTCCTAGTCGCCATGTCGACCCCGTAGTTGAGACGGGCGTAGTGGACACACTGGATTCACGACTAGCTGATGCGAGGAGACGCCACGAGGCTGGCGAGTAAGGGTCAAACCTCCCTTTGGAGGTCGTCGAGCTGGGCATCTGCGCAAAGTGATCGACAGATCACCCTTCCCGACCCGTTTTTCCTCGACCGGTGCGAAACGAAGGAGGTGTCGACGAGGAGGTCGACGGCGGTGTTCAAGTCGGTGGCAGCGATGGCACGAAGAAGAGAGGTATGATCAAGGTCGACGGTGGCGTCGACGGGAGTCAGGCGCGAGTGCAGCGGTCGATGGTGGCTGCAGGCAGCTCGCATTTCGACGTCCATGGTCGACGTCGCTCTCCCCAACAAAGCAATGGGAGGCCCACGTCGACAACGCATGTGTCGGCTGGCGGGATCGCTGCGGGTATGGCTACTTCAAGTTCATGCCAGACAAAGTCACCACCACGCCGCTGCAAGGTTGACGGAACCTCATCACGTGGAAGGAGGCTATTGAGCCTCAGCTGGAGGTCGCCGGGTTGAAGGGTTTCGCCGACGGCACCGTGCCGATACCGCAGGAGGACGAGGTCGAGCTGCGCGGGGAGTTTCGTGCCGCTCATCTGCTCACCTTCATGGTCATGTCGATGGTGCAGATTGCGCCGTGTCCACTTCGACTGGACGCAGATCACCAAGAGTGGCAGTTCATCATGTCGACCTACCAAGCGACAGACGACTTGTACATCGGCCAGCTGGAGGAGCAGCTGACACACCTTCGGATGGGCGAGCAGGAGTCGGCGACGGACTACTGCAATCGTGCTCGACGACTCCTGGCCGAGATGGGGATGGCGGGCGTTGAATACGCGAGGGCGTCGTATATCACGCACGTCATCAAGGGACTGCCAAGCAGCTTCAACCTCATGAAGAGGCTGATGGTGGTGCCCGGTACGCGTGAGTCGCTCGACAAGGACTCTCTCACCAGCTACATCATCCGCGATGAGGCAATGCAGGAGGCAGAACGTCCCACGGAGTTCCTTCCGTAGGCGAACTATGCAGCCCCGACGAAGCAGAGTCGACACCAGGGGTAGCGTGGGAAGCAGGGCGGAGGTGGTAGCGGAGGTGGGTGGTCGACGAAGGACGTCGACCAG